TATTATTATATTATATATAAAACCTGAACAAGTATTTTAAAAATATAATAAAATAAATAATAAATATGGTAGAATATATAATCCTATCCAAGTAATATATTTTCTATTTTCCAGGTATCTATATTCATGAGTAATTTAATGCATATGAAATGATAGCGATGACACAATTTTTCTGACTTAACTTACAAAACGATTTAATAGTACTTCATTTGATAAGTAGATTTTTATTTTATTATCATATAAAAATATAATTTACAATGAATTTTATTAATCATTTGAAGAGTAGAATCATTGCAATAATGTTGGATGTTTACAAATCCATGTATACTTCATCCAGCATTATTTGAAGGTCAGTACAAAGCTGGTTAATTTTACTAGAATTATCACATGTCGATTTCGTGTGCATTTTGTTCATTTCCGCATAAAAAAAATGACAATATAACAACATAATACATCATAACACTTAAAAACAGGAATGTCCAATATCATATTTTTAACAATAACATTATTTAAAAATGTAAACATAAAATTGAGCATAAAAAAGTAGATTTTGGTTCAAATATACATTGTTCATGAAATTGTTAATTTTTATCTTTGGGTTTTCAAATATTTATACTCCCAATAATTATACTTAATATTTTGCAATAGTAACAAAAATATAAATTCTATTGTTGATGACTCTTCAATAATTTAGGATAAAACACATTGAAAAGTGATTTGGAGTTAAAGCACTTTTTTTACATTCCTTAATTTTCATGATTTTTGCGATAAAATGATGATCATGAAATGCAAAATGATAGTTTTGTCTTGGTTTTGTATTCAAAAGCAAAGCTATGCCTTTACACTTTATATATATTAGATAATATTATATGTGTTTATTGAGGATAATTATAATAAATACTTTTTGAGAATTAAATGTCTGAATGTGTTACAACAGACTTTGTTAGCAACTAATGACCACTTAAGCTAAGTGTAAGTAAACATAGAGCTCTTAGCATGTCCTCCTATTCCGTTGTTGCTAGGTTACTATTCAACTTATTGCGGTGTTCAATCAAGATAATTTCATCATTTATGCCTTTATACTATAATGATAATGGTGATTATGTTATAATGGTGTAATAATAGCCTAGTGTTTATGCGATTGTGCTTTGCTGGTCAATAAATATTTCTCATTTATCAGTAATGCCCCCATTCAGATGCTGAATAGGCATTGATGAGTATCTACATAGAATTAGATTAGATTTAATCACAATGCATAAATTAAGGATCTACTTTTTCAGTACTAGCCTGTGGATATGGGGGGGATCGGAAGAGTTCTGCTTGAGTGAAATTTGATCTTGTTTTACATTTTATTACCCTTAATACTATAGTTTTTCACTTGTAAATGTTCCTAAATAATGTCAGAAAAAGCATTTTTTGGACATTTTTTTTTCCAGGACAACTTAGTTCAAACACGCCTTTCCTGACATAAAAAAAGTGATTTCCGTTCAGAATTTTAAAGTGATCCCTATCTTTACTCAAAATTATATCTCCATGCTCAAGCTGATGATGTGCCTTCATTTTTCTCAACTCCTACCATAATCAATGGATTAAACACTTCTGTATACTGTACTCGATGACTATGAAGAGAAACACCATAACACATTAACAGCAATAAAACATTTTATAATGGCCATTATCAGGATGTATAACATTAATTGGCGTATACCTGTAGGCATTTAATAATTATGTTAAAAAAATTACAATTACTAGCAACATACATTTATTTTCTATTAGTAGGTATTTGATATTAATGTTATTAAATCATAATTCTATCCCTGTTATTTAGTACTATTTATGAAATTAATTTATAGGCCTGCAAAAGCAGCTATGTTAGACTACAAAAAACATGATGGTAATAAATATTTGAGAAAAACGTTTCCCCTTTGGGATTCAGACCCAACACCTTCCAATTACCGCTTGGATACCCTACCAACTGATCTATATGAGGCCAAGTGGTACAGTTGGTACTGTATGATTGAATACAAATAATTTTAGTCGCGTTTCGTTGAAAGAGGTATAAAATAAACGTCAACACAAAACCATTACCGAAGCCACATTATACATTATAAGGTAATTATCATCTTCATTTTTAAATTGGAATCTATGTACGGCTTTTAAGCTAATATACATTTATCGGGATATAGAGTTATACCTGTCTCTTATACACATCTAGATGTGTATAAGAGACAGATCTATATGAGGCCAAGTGGTATGAATTTCCAAGTGGTATGCACCCTTGGATTTTCCATTAGGATATGTTTTTTCCTCAAATTATTGCATAATACACAATGAATAATTAGTACTACATGCATGATTTACAAAAAACATCTATATTTACACAATTCCAAATTTGAAAATGGCAAAGCAGGCAATTAATTAAAAACACACTATCCACTACTCTTAAATGTTAATGTAATCACTCTTAGATTATTTTATTAGATGCTTTGTATTTTTAGATTTACATCTGTTTTGATATTTAGATTTTTTTTTCTATCCTATTTTGTATTTGATGAGCTTGTTACACTTTGACATTCATTAAATTGACAAATTGCCTGCCATTTAACTACTGTATCGCCAGCTGCATCAAACTAATGCGATACACATCTTTATGTTTTTTAACACAACATAACATTGATGCTTGATTTTTGCCCATGTCATTGCCTAAGATTTATAAATAAACTGTTTGGACAAGGAAATATCAATCGTCCTAGTGACAAGGAAGGGTAAAACTAGTCTTTCCCCTCCCATAAATTATCCACGAGAACAAATTTTAATTACTCCGAACTTCTGCTGCCGCAAATCGTTCCGTTTCTTCATCTCTCTGCCTCCACCCTTCCCAGACACCTCGTCTAAGTTATCATTTCTCTGTGCAATGTTGTTTTGTCAGAAATCCATCTTCTGCACGCATAGCCACTCAGAAAGATAGAAATAACATTTCTTCCTTTCACAGTGATCGTGCTTATACTTCCTGTTGAAATACTATGCTCTTGTGATGTTAATTTTTCCAAGGTCGTCTTTCCTCTGATTACTCTTGTGTTTTTTCTAGTGATTTCTTCTTTCTGTTCAACTAATATTATACTGCAAGTTTTACTGTGTCTTTTATGCATCATATTATTGGGGTATTTAAGGCCCAGTAAAAAAAAAATATAAGTTTATCACCCTACTTTGGAAAAAAAGTGATGAGGGAGGGAGACTTTTTATTTTTATTTTTTTTTATTTTGCTAAAGCCAAGTATCACCTTTGGGTTGTTTGATGGTGCATTAATATTCAAAGTAAAATACATGATTAAGATAATACAAACAATATCTAAACTGTTTACTAAAAATATGAAAAACAAAAAATTTTCTAAAAAAAAAAAATTCTCAAAAGAAAAAATTCCACCAAATTATTTTTTTCTCTAAAACATATGCAGGCGAGAGTGATAAACTAATAATTTTTTTTATTGGGCCTAAAGCAAGAATCTTCTTGCAAGGTACATCATGTGTTCCAATGTTTGATGGCATTCTAAATCTTAGAAGCATTTTTGAATGTGACTGTGGCTTGTAAGTTTATTTTAGTATGTTATATTCATATTTGCAGATTGAAGTTTACATTGAATCAACATCCTAAATATAATTTTTCAATTTATCTCTTTACATTATGTAGCAATTTGTATCTCTCTTTTTTGTTACAGTATGCGTAAATTATGCTGTTCTGTACTTTATAAAGATTATTATTTATTATTGAGTATTATATTTGTGAAAATGGCTTGGTTTCCCTACCTCGAGGTCGGAGTTTCAATCTTTTGCTGTGCATTCTGCTTGTGTCCGTGAGTGAAGCACTTTATCTACATTGCTTTAGTCTACCCAGCTGTGTCAGGGGGTACCAACAAATTGCTGGGAGTAATCTGTAGTGGATTAGTGACCTACCTAGGGAGTGTGGGTGGGGGGGAGGTTTACCACTCTTGTCAACTTCACGGTACAAAAACTGGGATAAGCTTCAGCTTTAAGCCCTTATAAACCCTGTGGTTCAACAAGGATTTTCTTTGTTTGATTTTCTTTGTTTTTTTACTTTATTAATAATGTGGCAAAGACAAACGAAACCAGTCACTTGTTGCAATTGAGAGATAATAGCTGGAATTTCAAAATTTTTGAAATCTATTTTATTGTACTAAAGTATATTATATCTATACATTGTGATATGTTGTTAGTTTTCCCATTTTTAATTTTAAACCAACAATTTTAAAGATTTGGTGATGGTTTCTGCTTAAGAAATGCCTGGAATTTTTAACTTTGAAGGCTGATTTCTCAAATATTGTTCTACAGCTGTATGTTTAAACTCCATAAAGAAATGTCTTCTTTAAATTATTCTTTTACTATTTTAAAGCTCTCTTTTTACTGTTTAACCTTTTGTTAATAACTAAATATTGATTTTTGCGAGAAGTGACTGATTTGACTTGTCTGTGCCACATATAAATTATTAACTTTGTTTGTTTTAACCTCCTCATCTGATGATCTAAAGGTTTATTACCCTAATCTTGTAACATGTGTAGTACTGCTACATTAGCCCATCATCAGGAGAACTTCTGTACTGTTTGCTGTATTTGTTGAAATTATACATTGGGCTGATACTCAAGATGAAGGCTGTACAATTACACCTAATCTAGGGGTTGTACTCTGAAGATATGGTAGTATAGAACTTTGCACAGTGGCACAGTTGTGATTTGAACCCTCACTTCCAACCTTTAGATTGGGAGTCCAAACCACAACAAAAAATTCCATGGACCATTCGAGAGTCATGCACGTTTGTATTGCAAAATGTATCTAGTCAAAAGAAAGGTAACTGAATTTAATGAATTATAAAGATCTCTTGTATGCAGATCAACCCTGCAACCAAATATTATAACATTTTAACAATGGACATAGCATAGATTTCTTTTTTTATTATTTCTTTTTTTAGATGCGACCTATTATTCTCACCTGTTTGACAATGACATTATTATATTTCTATAAGTTTTCCATGACACCTGCTCAGTCTTGTTTGACGAGTCATCCATGTGTAACCGTAACTCAATTCCTTGGTAAGCAAGTTTTATTAAATTAGGCAGCTTTTCTGATTAGGCCTATTTGTCACAATATAGTACTGTACATTTTCTCTGCGATATCTGCCATATTGACTTATGCGGTATGTAAATGTAAGTTTATAATTCATTATTTTCCGTAGTATATTTAAATTATTTTTCTTTATCTTTTTCATTTCTTCTCTTCTTTTCTTATTTCCATATCTTCATATTTTCTTTATCCACTTTTCTGTCCTTTCATTCATTTCTTACATCATACCATTTTTTTTTTATTGTTTATCTTTTCTCTTCCTCCTATAGTTTTGAGAATTTGCATTCATAACTGTCAAACATTTCTTTAATTATTTTTTTAATTTTAATTTTTTTTTTGAAAGTGCATATAGGCTCATTGCATTATGCGCTATATAAGTGGAACTTATTTTTATCATTATTTTTTGCTTTAATTTTTTCTGTATATTTTGCTTTCACTTTTTATCTTCATTTTTGTGTCTACTGCCCTTTTGGGGGTGCAGTAAAAACTATGTTGTCGTGAGTGGGAGTTAACCCTGTAAGAGTTATTAGAAAACGAATAGCATTCAAAACTCAAACATAATAATAATGATAATTTAAATAACGATTTGAAAAGCAAAAACATCACCACCGAATTTGGTGCTCAATGCGCAGAATGTGATAGAGACGAAATAACCGATTCCTCAATCAGATAATTAAGTAAACAGTTTTGAAGTGTAAGGCAGTAGACACGCACTTCTGCTGGGAGCCTATTTCTTCTTCTCTTCTATACCTTTTTTCCAGTCTTTACAAACTTTCCATACTCTAATTAAAAATGAAAACCTAGCTTCTTATGTTACATAATTGCCTATGTACCTTAAGGACATATCCTCATTTTGCATCTATTTATTTTTACACATTCTAAATAAGAATAAATTTTGATATCTAACACCATTCAAATCCCTGGCCATGTCGCTGTCTACACTGAGTGATGAGTTCTTAAATGTGCTAGCAGAAGTGCTTACAGCTTATTGCTTTTAAGATCTAATTTGTGAATACATACAAACGATTTGTATACATATTTTTATCATTATTTTGATAATTGTTAGCAAGCTATTTATCATTGGGATTTATATTGTAATTAAATGTAGGTATGTACTTTTGTTTGTATTTCTACAATATTTAACAGCCGTATTATATTTAATCCCCATGCAAAAATTAGGCCTAGAACTTTGTCCGCATATTTTGAAAAATGTGGCAGATTTCCGAGCAATCTTTGCAGAAAATTAGGCCTTTTTATAATTTTGATCAGACTTATTGAAGGCTGATAAATTGCTATGATTAATTTTTACAGTATGCGAAGCTTCTAAATTAATAAATTGAGAAATTTAAAGTTTTATTTTAATCTTTTATGATTTTTTAAGTGGCTCTTACATTCTTACATCTTTCATTCTGTTTGTGTTTTACCAGTCAGTATCCCAATATTATGATTCCTATCCTCACTTGGTTGCTCATAATCTGGTTGGTTCCCACCTCTTAGAATTCGTAGGATTCCAGGCACTGGGTTGATTAATTGCTTACCATATTTTCTCCATCATTAAATAGTTCACTGTTGAAATTGGGTTTGTATAAATCATTGTTCAGTAATTCATAACAAAACAGAAAAGCAGAACATAAATCAATGATATAACAATATGCAGGGAATATAAACAGCTTAAGGGTTGAAATATGCTGTATTATTAAGCATTGGGAAGGACTATTTTTAAAAAGCAACAAATTAAGAAAGTTGAAAATTTTAATTATTGTACTTTGTAGGTACTGTAGGTACGTTCAGTTGTGGTATCAGCATTTCTATGACAAATGGTGTAGGCCTGTCTCTTGTCACATGAAAAAAACATGGCCACATCACCTTTAGACGTTTACATATGAAATCTCAATCAAGGACCAACAGGGCCCTCAAATTTACCAATAACAATATATTTCTTATTTTCGCTTATAAATACTTATTTGTTTATGGAACAGTTTTGCTAAATATGAAAAAAAAAAAGAATTATATGTTTTGCTAAGAAAAGTTTGCTAAGAAAGATATTTCAAAAAGTCTTAGGCCCAATAAAAAAGAAAATAAAAAAGAAAATATTAATTTATCACCCTTGCGCGAATGTCTTCTATGGTACTTTTTTAAAAATGGTATTTTTTTTTTTTTTTTTTTTTTTTTGGTAAATGTGAAATTTACTAGTGCAATTAATGTGATTTATAATGTATTCACATTATGCCTCCTGTACTGCTGTGTATGTAAATATTATGCATTATAACTTTTTGGTTTTACAATTAAGTTTTATTTTTTACATTTTGTTTTGTATTAAGGTATTTTGGATGCACCATAAAACTTGTTTTATGTGTGCCACTGTTGTAAAAGTGAAGTCCATCAAAATTGAAATTGAATTGACAAACTTCTTACTTTTATCTAGAGCTACATACTGTACTGTCTGTCTCTTATACACATCTGGTCCAGGGTCTAGCTCTAGACTACTGCGCACAGGTCTTCTATGGTACTTTTATTTTTTAAATGGAATTTTTTTTTTTAATTTTTAAAAAATTTTGTATTATCTCAATAATGTTTTACTTTGAATATCAATGCACCAGCAAGAAATCCAAGTGTGATATCTGGCTTTAGCAAATAAAAAAAAATCTCCCTCCATCATCACGTTTCCAGCCTAGATAGGGTGATAAACTAATAATATTTTTAAGGGCCTTACCTAAGCTGGAGAACAACAAAGCCAGGGCTAAAAAGAGCTTTGTTGTCGATGCTGGTTTTGGGTTTCATCTGCTATTTCAAGTGTGTGTTTTAGACTTAAGCCTATAATTAGGAGAAGCTGATCATATAGCTATTGGTAGGCCTAGTAGCTGAGTTAGTTTCATCAAATTACTTACAGTCTCCTTCATTACAAAAACCGCATCAAAGAGCATCTCCTTTGCAGACCACAAACCACAAATTATGATCTCTTGGCTTTGTGGTTGTGTATTTTGCACATTTTGTGTTAGGAGAGGCTCCACAGAGGGAGATTTGTTTTAGGATATGCGAGTAACGCTTGTGTTTTAAGACGATCAATAGGAAGAAGATTTTTAGGATTGGTGAGTGTTCTATGTGCTTACGTTTGAACATAAATTCGTAGAGGATGGGATATTTATAGCTTGCAGTTTTTTGTTAATAAGTGAGATTTCCAGGATTTCAATCCTCAATGTATATTGCTTAGTTCATATGCATTGTTTTTATTTAAAAATATTTTTTTCCCCAATTTTTTTATTTTATTATTTTTATTAACATTTGATAAATTATTTTAAAAATAGAATATAGAAATCCATATTAAATAAAACTACATATAGAATTTTTTTAAATCTCATATTTTATTTTTCCCTCTAGATAATAAAAACAAGTATAGATCTTTAGTTACCCACACAGGGTATTTTCTACAAGGCGGTTACTCCCATAATAAACATAGTTTTTCAAAAACAAAATATTACAAAGAAATATCTAATATTATAATAATTATTTGCTGCATTTTTTTATGTTAAGTTTTTTTCCATGACAACTTAATTTCATAGAATTAATAAAATTAATTTGAATATATATGATTGACACATTTGATTAAAAATTATTCATGAAAAATAATAATGACAAGAAACAGAAAAAATGCTAGATACAGTATATCACACAAATTTTTTTTCAATTAAATGCTTCACTCTCTAAATCTTGAAAATGCTCTGGACATGATCCTACTCTAAGCAATTAAATCTCTACTGTGTCTTGATTGGCTAAAATTGTTAGTTGAATTTTGTTATATAATTGCTTTTTGTCCTCGAATCAAATATTGTGACATAAAACAGATAGAGAATTCCCTTGGTGAGAAACATTTAATAATTTGTCGTCGTTTTCTCACAATGGGATCTGAATATTTGAAATAAATTGTTCATTCACATGGAATAGTCGTAAAAAAATGAAAGGGCAGATTTTCAAGTAATACCAAATTTAAATCAGTGTAATCTTTAGCATGAAAGGGTAGAGGAATCCATTGTACAAGATTTTTAATTGCATAATAGCATGTCACTTATCCACAATTATAGGGGGAGGTTCAAACCACAGGTCACCTGGGAACCCTATACTCATCGAAACACACTGGGTCCCGTGTACGCAACCAGGACCTCTGTTTTTGAGACATCGTCGTGTTCATCTCCCATTGCCTTTGGAGTTCGTCGGTGTGAACAACCAGGATAACACACAAAAGTCTGAAAGACTTTTTTTGAGGTGGGGTGGTCATCAAAGATATAACTTTTAACAAATGAATCTTAAAAACAGACATAAAAACAAAATAATAATAATAATACTAAAAGTTGTGCTTTTATAGCAATTTAATATGTTGCTGTTCCTTTACACCCAATGGCCAGGAGTAATGTCCCCTAGCAGGATTTGAACCCAGCCCCTTCTGTTTGTCTACTTTATTCCTTCCCAACATTTCGTTTCATATAGACCTATATTCCAATATGAGATATAGTAATGTATGAGTAATTGAGGGAAAAATGAGTAATGCTGCACTAACAGTGTTCATGGGATGTCGTCCAGGCTTATCTTGTCTAGATCTTACTGTTATATCAACAAATACAAAGAACGAGGTTAAACCCTGTAAATGAACTCTATCATTTAATTTCCCAATAATCTTAAGACCAAATGTGACCAAGATGTGAAAGGAGCGAAGACTTTCCACAAGCTGGAATACTGTATATCATCAAACACAAATCACTGTGTTATGCCTGTTAAAAATGGTGAAATCATAAGCTTTTGTTTATTAGACAAGTTTCTTGCAAAAGGCTCCATATTAAGCATGTCTGCAGGAGACAATTACTCTTTCCTCGCATGCAGAGTTTGCAAGGGTCTTGGAGCAGAAAAACCAATGGCTGGCTCTTGAAAATTCTTCAGTATTACTTTAGTATTTTGCATTTATTAATATGTACTCTTT